CTCGCAGTACGCGGCCGCGGTCGCGGCTGCCGCCGCGTCGGGCGGCTACGCGCCATCTGTGCTCGCGGGCGCCGACGCCTTTGTGCGCCAGCTCAGCGGCAGCCACAACCTCGCCGCCGCCGCCAGCCTGCCCGGCGCGCCCGGTCAGCAGCGCTCGTTCACCTCGCCGCGCCCCGGGCCGCCCGCCGGCGTGCCCTCACGCCCGCACCCAGAGGAAGACGTCGAGGCCGCCTGGACCCGCGTGCTCGCCAGCCACGGCGCCGCCCCCGCGGCCGCCGCGGCCGCGGCCGCGCAGGCGCACGCCGCGAGGCTCTCTGCCGCGGCCGCCATGGCGATGGCCTCGCCGTTCGCTTCGGCGCCAAGCCACTTCCAGTACACGTCGGCGGGGCAGGCCCAACACGTCCACGCCCTCGCGGCGCTGCAGCAACAGCAGCAGCAGCAGCAGCACCAGCACCAGCAGCAGCAGCAGCAGCAGCTGCAGCTGGTCGGGGAGATGGCGCTCCCGGCGCAGCAGCAGGGCAGCGGCGGCGGCGGCGGCGGCGGCGCGGAGGTGTCCGGCCAGCGCCGGCAGCCGCCCGCGCGGCGGTCCACCTTCACGGCTCCGGCTTCAGGTCCAGGTGGGTTCGGCCGTTCGCGTTTTTCATGCGCAGGAATCACTGCGGCGCTGTAAGTGCACTGGACCGGTCAGCAAGCTGATGGCGCGCCGGCGCAGCCGTCCCCTCCCTTTTGTCGTCGCTGGTACGTTTTCAACCCATTCAATGGCTGATTTGCTGCGGCGCACCCTTCCTCATCTCCTTGCCTCTGGCAGGTACCTACGGTTGCATCCCTATGCAGCAGCAGCAGCAGCAGCAGCAGCAGCAGCAGCAGCAGCAGCAGCAGCAGCAGCAGCAGCAGCAGCAGCAACCGGCACTCACCGCACTGCAGCAGCAGGCGATGCTGCAGCAGCAACAGCAGCAGCAGCAGCAGCAGCAGCAGCGGCAAAGTCGGGGCCCTCCGTCCCCCTTGCCGACTGAGCAGCCGCCGCTGCCCCTGCCCAGCCAGCAGAAGCAGCACCACCAGCAACAGCACCTGCACCACCACTACCAGCAGCAGCAGCAGAACCAGCACCCCCATCAGCTGCAGCAGCAGTACTCGTCCAGCTTCCCACGCGTGCACAGCTTGGACAGACACTTCAAAAAGCACCAGAACGGGCGCAGCCGCGCACAGCAGCGGCAGGACGCAATCTCTGCCGCCGCGGCCGCCGCCGCAGCAGCCGGCTACCCGGGCTATGCGTCCCCCCAGCACGGCGGCGCCGCGCCCGCCGTCGTGCCGCTGTCCGCGCAGCAGTTTGCGGACGGGCTCAGCGCGGGTGCGAGCGTCTCGGCGGCGGGCGCGTTTTCGAGCGGCCGCAACCTGCGGGCCAGCTGCGGGAGCAACCTTGGCTTGGGGGACCCTATGGACGCGTATGTGGGCACGTTTGGGGTGGGCGGTGCCGCCCCGCAACCCAGCGAGGTCAGCGCCACGCGGCAGATGCGCCTGCGGCAGGCCGTCGCGGCGGCCGCGCAGCAGCAGCAGCAGCAGCAGCAGCAGCAGCAGCAGCAGCAGCAGGGCGGCGCGGGCGGGGCCAGCGGCGGCGGCGGGCAGCATTCCCACTCGCAGCGGCTGCAGCGGCAGAAGCAGAAGAAGCAGCTGCTCCACGCTGAGCTGGCGAAGGCGGCGTCTGCGGCCAGCGTGCACAGCAGCGGTCACCACTTGGTGTTTGACCAGGCCGCCGCGTGGCACGCGGTGCCGTCTGGCGGCGGCGCGGCCGGCGCCGGCGGGGCCCACTCGCCAGAGGGAGTCTTCGGGGCGGCGCTCCCGCTGCGGTCGCGGCGCGGGGCCGGCGGGCCGACCTGAGGGCCCGCGTGGGGGTCGTGCGCGGCAGCCACACCCGCCTGTGCGCATCAGGGGCGTGCGGGTGGGGGCGGCAGGGCATGCCAGACCTTGTTTGTGGCCCACCCTTTGGCTGCCGCCCTGGGGTGCACGGCACCATGCGTGCAGGACAGCTGGGTTGTGCATCGCACATTTCTTGTGCAGTAGAGCTGCGCGGGCGCCGCCTGCTTGCCACGTATTGCGCTCGGGCCCGCCACTGGCGCGGCGCCCCGCGATGCGAGGTACGCGTGGTGTGGGCGGGGCGGCGGCGGCGGTTTCAGAGTTCCCTGTCCCGGCTTGCCCCCGTGCCCCAGGCGCACCGTCCCAGTTGCTGACGTGGGCTGAAAGAGACCTTTGGTTTGTTCAGAAAACCGCTAACTGCACCCGACGATGCCCCCTCAACCCAACCCGAGCATGCGAGTTGTCTGACTAGATATGGGCCTGTTAAAAACGTAAGTCGAGGTTTCAGCCTCCGCAGTCTGTGGGTGTGGCAAGCCGCGCTCCCAGCGCAGGCGGGGAACGGACCTCCGCTCCCCGTTTTGGGCGGGGCCGCGTGGCGCGCGCCGACATGTACGCTCTGTCGGTTTTCAGGCCGAACCCGCAACGATTTGCGGCGCGCCGCACGACGCGCCTGTGCCCCCTTCGAGCGTCCGAGGGTCCGCCAAGTCAAACGAGAAAAAGTCGCATTGCAAAAGATATTGCACGCGCCGCCCACGCGCACCCTGGCCCTCAGAGTCGAGCCTCCGCGCGAGGAGCCCGGCCACCACACTTCGCCATTGATGGCCCGCCCGCCAGCGGCGAGCGGGCGGGCGGCCGCCCAGGCCCGCACCGCCCGCGACGGCCGGCCTGCAGAACTGAATTGGGGGGCGCCGCCACACGGGCCGGCGCGCGAAACAAGGGCGGCGCGCAAGGGCTCCGGGCTCGCGCCGCCCGCCGCGTGGTGGCGCCCTTTGCTGCGTCACACTGGGACCGACTTTCATTTAACCCGAGCAGAAAAAAGAACGTAGCACCCGACCGTGCGGAGACGCGCCGCGCGCAGAAATGCACACCAGTAAACACGAAACCACGCCCGCGTCAACCACAGATGCATCCCCCTCTCAAAAGTCGCCAGTCCCCTCGTGCGCCCCTCCCCGCAAATAAGACCCAGCGCTCGTGCCCGCAGTTCGTCGGTGTGTTCTGCACGCCCGTCAGCCGGCAGAGCGGCCGCTGTGCACCCAGCGACCGTGCCAAGCGCATGAGCGCCGCAACCGGCTGAAGTCGCAGTGGGCCCCGCTCAAGGAAGCGCCGCGCCGAGGCGCTGCCGGCGGCGCGATGGCACGGCCACCCAAGACACCATGGGAGGTCCCCCAAAGCGAAGCGAGCGGTGCAAGCGAGGGCCACGGCAGGAGGAAGCAGCGCCGGCTGGGCGGTGGCGGGTGAGAAACCCGGCAGGTCGAGGGACGCCCCAGCCGTGCCCACGGGCACGGTTGCTGGGGCGCGCGCGGGCAGGCATTCGCAGCCGCCCGGTCAATGCAAGGGCCTTTCAAGTGCTCAGCAACCCAGCCGGAAACAAACACAAAACTGGTGTCTTGGATGCTCAACAGGCACACTGGCGAGGCAGGGGAGGGGGGTTGTGCGTGCGCTCGCAGTGTCTTTAGAGGGGCCGCTCGCCGCCCGGCCCCCACCCTTGCCAGTCGTCGAGGCGCGGGCTGCCGGCGCCGCCGCCAGAGCTGCGGCCGCCGGGGGATTGAGGCGCGACGCGCCGCGCCGCAAAGGGCGCTCCGGGCGACCCCGGCTGGCGCGGCTGATGAAAGGCGCCCGCGGGAGCGGCAAACAGAAATTCGTTGCCGCCGCCGTCCCCCTGCACGGGGTCAAACGGAGCCGCCCCGGCGCCTGCCGCCGCCGCCGCCGCCGTCGCCGCGGCGGCCGCCGCAGCTGCCGCCGCCGCCGCGGCCGCGGCGGCAGCAGCGGCTGCCATGCTGCCCGTCAAGGATGGTTCGAGGAGACCGGCGAGGGCGCCGCTCCCGTCATTGCTGCCTGTGCGCAGCAGCGCCGCCGCCGCCGCGAGCTGAGACTGCTGCTGCTGCTGCTGCTCGTGCTGATGCCGCTGCTCGGCCGCGCAATCCAATTCGAGAGGAGCACTGCCGCCGCTGCTGCTGTTGCTGCCGCCGCTGATCTCGCCGCCGCCGCCGCTGCTGCCAGGCGGCGGCGGTGGCGGCGCCAGCCACGCAGCGGCCGCCGAGCGGCCGCTTGCGGGGGCGCCGGCGCCGTTGACGTGGCCTTGGCGCGAGGCGTGCGGCACAAACCACCGGCTGCCGTCGCTGCTGCTGCTGCTGTGACGCCTGCTAGACGATTCGGAGTCGAATCCTGTTTCAGAGCTTTGTAAGTCCTCCTCCTGCTCGCCCTCCTCCTCTTCCTCCACCTCCGCTGTGCCAGCGCTGCCATCTCGGCGCGCCTCAACCGCAGCCCCACGCCTGTCCCCCGGCCCCGCCGGCTGCCAGCAAATGAGCTCGCCCGTCTCTTCATCTTCCACCCACATGCCAGGCACCGGCGCCGCCACCGCCGCCGGTGCTGCCGCCCCTGCGCCCGCGCCCGCGCCCGCCGCTGGACGCCCCTCGCCGCTGGCCCCGCCCAAACCCAGCCGCCGCATTGCGCCGGTAATGGCGCGCGCGCCGCCTGCACGCGCCTCGCTCGCCGCCGCCGCCGGCAGCTGCGCGGCGCCCCCGGCCGTGGCGGCTTGGGAGATTGCGGCCTGAAACAGCGAGCTCCTCTGCAGCCGGGGCCGCGCGAAGCAGCCCGTGCTGACTTCAGCGTCGCCGCCGGCGCCGCCGCACTCGCCGCGCCGGTCGTGGCCCGGCGCGTAGCGCGCGCCCGCCGCGCCGACGGCCGCGCAGCCCCGGCCGTCGCCGCCGCCGTAGCAGACGCCGCCGCCCCCTTCTAATGGCTGGCGATCAGAATTCCAAGGGTCACGCCAAGGCGAAGCCCCCTCCCCCTCGTCCCACTCCCCTGAAGCAGCCGCCGCCGCCGCTGCTGCCGCAACGGCAGCTTCCCGAGCCTGCCGGCGCCCCCGCGCCCGCGCGCCGCCGCGCGGCTGCGGGCCCGCGCTCAGCAGCAGCTCCTGCTGCCACGTCGCGCCGCCGCCGCCGCCGCCTCCGCCGCCGCCGCACGCCGCCCCCGCGGCGCCCAGCGGCGCGGCGCTCTCGAAAAACGCAGCGCCGGGGCGCGGGGAGTGAGAGCTGCTATCGTCGCCGCACGGCCCGTCCGGCGCCGGCCATGCGCGCCGCGGTACGCCGCCCGCGGCCGCGCCGCCGGCCCAGCCGCCCGCAACGTCCCCGGCGTCCGCGGACGCCCACGCCGGCTCCCGCCACGCCAAGGCCTGCGCGCCGCCGCCGCAGGGTGCATCGCGGCGACGCCGGCCCGAGCCTCCGAGCCCCGCGCCAGCGCCAGCGCCGGAGCCGCCGCCATCCTGGGACAGCAGCGCCCGTTGCTGCCACGACAGCTGGTCAGCGGCAGCGCCCGCGCTGCTGCCGCTGCCACCGCCGCTGCCCCCACCCGCGCCGCGCTGCTGCGCCACCGGCGTCGCCAGCGCAGACAGGAACAAGGCGACGCCGGGCGGAGCGCTCCCTGCGCCGCCGCCGCCGCAGCGCGGCTTGCCCGCGGATCTGACGAGCCCGGTCGACGGCGGCGGCGGCGGCGGG